GATTAGTATTTATTATTTATTATTGCTTTTTAGTACACCTATTTATGTTTTTAGACACATTCTATTTGTATTTATTTTTATCATTTACTATTTTTAATTATTTATTGTATCTACCCATTTACTATTGTTATTATCAATATTAGGCAGCTGCCATTTTTCTTTTTATTATCACATTTTATTGTTAAATATACATTATATAATGGAAACACTTATTTCGATATAGCGGAGGAAGCCGAGCTGAGCTTTATTCAGTGAGTTTTGGCTGCGCTTCGTGTGGAGACTTGGGAGATACGTGGGAGAGGCATGGGGGAGAGACGGGGTAGAGACGGGGGAGAGACGGGGGAGAGATGGGGGAGAGGCATGGGGGAGAGACGGGGGAGACAGGCAAGACCCGTGTCTATGGTTCTGTGCGCGCGTCTATGGTCCGCGCTCGGTACATGACCACGCGCGTTCGCGGAGCTGTCAAAGCAGCCACAGTTTCTCCCGGGGTCAGAGAGGATGAGAGCCGCAGCAGAAGTCAAGACATTAATATATCTCACGTAAATCAAAGTGTTGTTTACTTCTGTTGCCATGTTGACGTACTAGAAACTAGTGAATAAACGCGCGAAAATAGTGTATACTTATTCGAATATGTCTTAATGGAAACGGCCGCTTTTGCGAATTACAGGTTTTTCGAATTTTGAAATGTATTGAAAAAGTTTTTGCGCATTATTCAATGGAAACGCAGCTACAGAGAACATGCCAATTCCACACAGAAAAGCCCTGTCCCGACCGGGATTCGAACCCAGGACCTTTGTGTCAAGAAGCGAGAGTGCTATCCACTCAGCCACCGTGCCGCACACACTGTGTCCCAGAGGGGAAACTTAATGTTAGAGAATATACAGGGCTACTTTGGCTTGGCCCTGTCGATTACGGTTGGTAAAAATAAATATTGTCATTTGCTTCTGTCCTGTTAGTCAAAATAAAACTTATCACGACTGAATAGTTTCTCCCTGTAAAACTAAAGCTCATTTCATGGCTTTGGTCATCACATACAAAACTGTTGAACTCGTTCAAAACCAAAATCTGTCAATCTGATTTCATACAATACTTTATCTTTTTACATCCTGAACATTTTTCCTAACACGACAAGGTGTGTTTTTTTATTGTTTACATTTGTCACAGTTCTACCATAATGATTGTGAGATTTCATAACACTTTTAAGCAACTTTTGTTAAAGTTAAACTCATCATTCTATCAATGTGCAGAAGCCTGTACTTTTTCCTTGTTTTGTCTATCTGAAGGCCAAGCTACATGGCACCGTGGAAGCTGCTGATTGGAGATCTCCATGCCTCCGCTCTGTATAATACACTTGCATTCTGTTTTATCTGTTGTTCGTGCTGTCTCTACCATCGACAATAAAACATGTCTTCTGTCAGAATTAAAGACGCGATCCCAGACTTTGTCATCTTCTTCAGGTGGTGGAGGATGCGGGCATTGTCTGTAACATCTAGAGCAGGGGTTCCCAAAGTTTTTAGCCCGCGACCCCCATCATAAATGCCCTGCTAACCCGCGACCCCCCCCCCAACAGCCCTTTCGTCACATGAAAGGAGCATGTATTTCCTTGATACGGAGTAACGCTTTCTAGAGACTCACGCCACTACCGAGCTGCACTGTCCAGCCCAAAAAAGGAGGCTTGCATATTTTTACTCATGTAGTGACAGTGATGGGCTTGGCGGACTCCCTCCTCAGCAGAAGTGGAGCGCATTTCTTGCGGCTCGCCCTCACTGTTCTCCTACCGCGGTAAAGTGGGCCGGCTTTCCGGAGTCAGCGGTAAAGAGGTCCGCACATTAAAAGCGGGCGGCCGCTTTCTGCTGTTACTTTATGCGGTTCATCCCCGCGGCTTCTCTTTCCAAAGTTACTGTCAGTAAAGGCATAAACCGACCACCCGCTTTTAATGTGCGGACCTCTTTACCTTTGACTCCGAAAAGCCGGGCCTCTTTAACGCGCTGTTCTACCGCTGCCCTCCCTCCCTCCGCTGCACTCTCTCCCTCCGCTGCCCTCTCTCCCTCCGCTGCCCTCTCTCCCTCCTCTGCCCTCTCTCCCTCTCTTCGCACCATCAGCCTGACCCCTGATACAAGTGACTTTTCTCCCCCTCCGGGTTTTCTGTTGTGGATATTAACCACGTTTCATTTTAAAGCAGGTATTATTTATTTGTAGCCTCCAAACACCTTTAGTTTTAGCAAACAACAGCAGGACACGCTTTGTCGCTGCGCATGATGTGAGCTGTGTTACGTGATGATTTTGATTGACGCTGCAATGACTGGGACAAAATTACTAACGTTATTAAAATATATTATAGTCTCCAAACACAATTTAACAAGTAGTCCTTTTGAATCAAATCAAATTCTAAATAAATATTTAAGGGCTTTATATTTGCTTATATATTTTGCTTTTTTGAGCAAAAAAAATCTTTTTTTTTGTGTGGAAATCATTTTGCGACCCCCCCAGGGGTTCCCGCGACCCCCCGGGGGGTCGGGACCCCCACTTTGGGAACCACTGATCTAGAGAACAGAAGACTTTTTTTTTTACACAAAAATGTGTTTTTTTTTTCAAGCCAAAACTGAGAAACCTCAAGAGAATGCATCTGGATCAGCCCATGGACAATCTGCACAGCCCCTGATTCCAGTCAGGCTGTGAGCTGCTGAGACATGGACAACACCAGCGTCCTCTTTTGCATGGACATCATTTGGAACAATTGGATTACACAATTTGGACATAATTTGGAACAATCTGGATTTCTGAATTTGGACATAATTAGGACTGAATTGAATTGCTGAATCTGGACACTAAAGCTGAAACGTGCGATTGAAAGACACGTCACAGAAGAATTCATGGCTCGACACAAATGCAGCCTGAAGAAATCAACACGGAGAAGTGGGAGAGACTGTTTTCAAAGCAATATCTGAGAACCATCGACTGATGAAGTTTGGTATTTTACTGAAGATTGTTGACAAGTTTTATGAAAGATCTGAAAATGTTTTGAGTTTTCTGAGTTTTTTGAAGTACCGAGTGAAGTACCGAGTTTAAGTATTGAGTTATGATGTTATGTTGCTGTTTATTGATCCTGATGGTCACACGTGAATGTGTGACCAGAGGGGGAATGTGAGATTTCATAACACTTTTAAGCAACTTTTGTTAAAGTTAAACTCATCATTCTATCAATGTGCAGAAGCCTGTACTTTTCCACTTCATGTTTTGTCTATCTGAAGGCCAAGCTACAAGCACAACGTGGAAGCTGCTGATTGGAGGTCTCCATGCCTCCGCTCTGTATAATACACTTGCATTCTGTTGTATCTGTTGTTCGTGCTGTCTCTACCATCGACAATAAAACATGTCTTCTGTCTGAATTTAAGACGCGATCCCAGACTTTGTCATCTTCTTCAGGTGGTGGAGAATGCGGGCATTGTCTGTAACATCTAGAGAACAGAAGACTACTTTTTTTTTTACACAAAAATGTGTTTTTTTTTTTAAAGCCAAAACTGAGAAACCTCAAGAGAAACCATGCATCTGGACCAGCACACTTGGACAATCTGCACAGCCCCTGATTCCAGTCAGGCTGTGAGCTGCTGAGACATGGACAATACCATCGTCCTCTTGGACATCCTGCATGTCCTGCATGGACATCATTTGGAACAATTGGATTACACAATTTGGACATAATTTGGACTGAATTGAATTGCTGAATCTGGACACTAAAGCTGAAACGTGTGATTGAAAGACACGTCACAGAAGAATTCATGGCTCGACACAAATGCAGCCTGAAAGAATCAACACAGAGAAGTGGGAGAGACTGTTTTCAAAGCAATATCTGAGAACCACATCGACTGATGAAGTTTGGTATTTTACTGAAGATTGTTGACAAGTTTTATGAAAGATCAGGGGCCGTATTCCTAAAGATTCTAAGAGTCCTCTCAGAGAGCTCCTATCTTAACCTAAAAACTCCTAGCTAGGAGTCTTAGCTTAAAAGTTATTCCAGAACACTCTTAGAGAACTCTGAGCAAGGAATTGACAACAACTTTTATCTTAGTGAGGAGGCGTGGCCGACCCCGTTGCTAGGTATGAGTCATCATTTCAGACGCTGTGATTGGTTGATCCTAAAAGTTAGAGAAACCATATTTTTGATAATGGGCAAAATAAGGATCCTCTAATGGACAAACTCAATCATAGAATCTAATCTTAGGAATACTATGTCATTGTAAATAATCAGAAAAGGTAGAAAGTCAGATGTATTTACTAATATTGTCTAACTTACTGTTGTAAGTTTGACTTTTACACCACATTAGAGCTTGCTCAGCACCAATTTATCACACATATTTAACAAACGTATATAACATGAGCACTTTTATATATATATATATATATATATATATATATATATATATATATATATATATATATATATATATATATATATATATATATATATATATATATATATTATATAATATATATATATATATATATATATATATATATTATATAAATTAGATGATTATAACATTAGGATTAGTAAAGGCTGTGATACTGAAAGACGTAAAAGGAATTAAGGAAAAAATATTAATATAAGCATTTTATACATAAACAAATCCAAGTGCATGTTATTGTGAATGTCACTGTTGCATAACTGTAAATACACTTTGGAATAAACTAAGATGTAGCAACCACACTATTTAAGTTAATTTAGAATGATAAATGGAGGGTGGGAGTTTAAAAGTATTAACTTCTTCACACTCCTTTTTGAACTGCATTGCTGTTAATAAAACAATAAACAAACAATATATTTGTACATGATGACTTTTACATGATTGACTTTTAAACATGATTCCTGCAGGATCCAATCTGCAGTGTTTTACTGATTCACTGTCATCCAGTGTATAGAATATTTCTCCTGCCTCTACCGTCCACCATTTTGTCCTCTTAGGGAACTTTTAAGTTGCTAAAAGTCCTCCTCTCAACTCTTAAGGGATCTCACCTTAGGAGCACTCTTAAGAGCTAGGATTCTTTAGGAATAGCTTTTTTCTTAACTAGAAGCTACTCCTCACTTTTAGGGGAAATTCTAAGAGTTGGTCAAGATTCTAAGAAAATTCTTAGAATTTGGCCGCTAGGAGCAACTTTTAGCACTAAGAATCTTTAGGAATACGGCCCCTGAACATGTTTTATGAGTTTTTGAAGTATTCCGAGTTCTGAGTTTTTTGAAGTACCGAGTGAAGTACAGAGTTTGAGTTTTTAAAGTATTGAGTTATGATGTTATGTTGCTGTTTATCGATCCTGATGGTCACACGTGAATGTGTGACCAGAGGGGGGAATGTGAGATTTCATAACACTTTTAAACAACTTTTGTTAAAGTTAAACTCATCATTCTATCAATGTGCAGAAGCCAGTACTTTTCCCTTGTTTTGTCTATCTGAAGGCCAAGCTACATGGCACCGTGGAAGCTGCTGATTGGAGGTCTCCATGCCTCCGCTCTGTATAATACACTTGCATTCTGTTGTTCGTGCTGTCTCTACCATCGACAATAAAACATGTCTTCTGTCTGAATTTAAGACGCAATCCCAGACTTTGTCATCTTCTTCAGGTGGTGGAGGATGCGGTCCTTGTCTGTAACATCTAGAGAACAGAAGACTACTTTTTGTTTAAAGTCATAATTTCAATATTTTTTATTTTTATACACACATTATTAACTAAATGTTGCGTTCTAATCTTTTTTTAGGATGAGAGCGCAGTCAGGCCAGGCTCGCCTCGCACATCTTAACACTAGAACGCCCAGCCAAATTTGGGGCTAGTTTAGAGAAGAGGAGCTAACCCGCTACTTGGGTTGCTAACATTTGCATGTCAAATGAGGTGATGACCGAAACAACAGGGGGCTAGGGTGGGCTTTGTTTATTCGTCTGGGGGAGGAAGGGCTGCGAATGAGTGACTTCCAGACTGTGAACCCTGAGAATTAATATACTGTATATATTTTGTAATAACATTTTTAACACAGTATGTTTCATTCTGACTGAAGCACATGATAATGTTATAAAACAGTATGTTTCATTCTGACTGAAGCACATGATAATGTTATAAAACAGTATGTTTCATTCTGACTGAAGCACATGATAATGTTATAAAACAGTATGTTTCATTCTGACTGAGTCCAAAATTGTGTCTGAAGTGTCCATCCTAATGGGAGATTCTTCACTGGCTTTCTCAAACACAATGCCATGGTTAGCCGATGACTCCGTTACTGGTTGTACAATCTGAGAGTGAACTCTCTTTAGATGTTTAGCATATGAATTTAATTTGTGATAAGTTCTTTGACAATTGTCCTGGTGGCACACAATGGTGTAATCTTGTGCATCACTTAGTGCATGCACTTGTCTGAGATGATTGATGAGTTGTCTTATGTGCTTTGACACTGCTCTTTTGCACTTGGGACAAGTATACATGTTGGTTGATAATTTACATTCCATGCAATTTGGAAATCAGCTCTAAGACTTTAGAGCGCTTTGCAGATTCCTTATTCAAATCATAAGCATACTCCAAAAACTGGTATACTGATTTGACCTGAGGAGGATATGACAGGTTGCACACCCAAAATAGTTTGAAGAGTTTGTCCAGGGCACAAGTCAGTCCTCATCTTGGAGAGGGATGATTACTTTGTCATTAGTTGCAACGATGAAATATTGTGCCGCTGGGTTCCTGGGATGTCCTAGGCAAATGAGTTTTGGTTGCTGGACTTCTGAATCAGAGTCTGCAGTCAGACTCAAAATGCTTGTTCCACTCTGGAGAATAAAAAAATAAAAATAGACAGTTTGAAAACAGTTACTATACTCAAATGTCACAATTCAATTTGCAAAACAATGCAGGACCCACAATTCACACAATGCCATACGTAAAATAAGGCTCTCATAAGAGATCACAGCTAATTAGGGATTCACAATCCAGCTTTTAAAAGTCCAATAACGATATATTGACTTTCAATATCTGCCAATTCCTGATATGAACAGATACCAGTGAAGGCACTAAAGAATAATGTTCTTTTCTCAAAGAACAGCTCACTCATTATAAATCAGATCCATTTGTTTTTAAACGGCAACTCCTGTAACTACAGAACAACTGTTTGAGTTAAAGTGAATACACATAAATTAAATGCGCTAGAATCAGCAGCATTCTTGCATCTCAAATGCATTGTCACACCCCTACTTGCAACAGTAGCCATACATTTTAAACAAGACTAAAAAAAATGAGACGTAAATTACTGATGTTAGTAAACCGTATATGTTAAAATTAATGTCAAGTCAAAAAAGCAAATAAAGACCAAAAGATTAGGTGTTTTGACTTTACCGGCTTGAGATCCAGGATGTAGGACATTGCAGACTTCACGCTGCATTTTGTCCATCCCTTGCCTCTTCCTGATGCGGTTGGAGGAAGAAAGGTGCTCAGACTCTGGAGCGCTTGAAAGGAACGCGACTCTGCAAAAATATTACACAGTTTGTTTCAATGCACATTTTTTGCCGGTTTTAACAAGAACTATATATTGTTTATATTAGTTCCCCTGTTTAACATTTGAGAGCAAATTAGCTGAAATAATTTTCTGTCAACATAACTGGTTAAAGGGACAACAAAGTGTCACCAAAGGAGCAACTGCAAACCTAGAAAGGCAGTACTCTTGTTCCACAAAACAACTCACCACTGGTTTCTTCAGAATCAGGCATGCCTTTTTTTTCCATAGTTGACAATTTGAGCAGTTTGGGAACAAATTGTGCTTCCCACTTGCAAAGGAAGTTGTCTTGCTTCCCAGGGAACAACTTCCCAAATTCAATGTCAATCTGTAAACAAAAATACATGTAAGCGTCATGTGCAAACAAACAGCAATTAAACTACCATGACCTTATGAGCAAGTGTATAATACAATAGTTTAACTATGTAATTGTACAAACACAAAAGTGTTTGAGGCGATAAAGAGCCAGAGAAAGAGAATTTAGACAAATAAAGCCAACCTTGCTATATTAAGTTTTCATAGAGACAAATTGTAAGAATTGATTGACACTTTCAAATCTAAACTTTTTCAGAGCAGTTTCCATCTCCATTTCAAATTCTCTTGTTACTATGTCCAATGATACATTTAGAGAACACAATTATTGGTTAAGAAGATGTAATGTTTACCAAGCACAGTAGGTCAATAAAGCGTGGATAGTGAGCGACAATTTCCTGCATTGTGGGAGACTCTGTTGAAATCCAAAGCCTCCGACTTGTGAATGTTTTATCCATGCCCATTTTGATTGTTGCAATGTTCTCAGGGATGGGCTTCATCCTTTTAATAGCAGATGTCCACTCCAGTGTAGCCTCTGCCTCCTGCTCTGCCATGTGAAGGGTAACTATGACATCAGGATCGGGTACACTACAACGAACTCTTTTCCGGTATCGCCGCTGATCTTCGTGAAGACTTCTGCGGAGGTTCCTCAGCCTCATTTCAATAAACCCACAATGGGAAACTGGGTCAAAGAAATGCTCCTAGACAATAAAAAAAAAGAACAGTTATACATGTGTATATATTATACACACACACACGTGTGTGTAAATATACTCACAAATCCTTCATTTTTTTCCTGGTAGTTTATCTTTAGCGAGGGAAAGACTTACTATACTTCTAGCCAGAAGTATTTTGTCATCCTTTGAGGGATAGCTAAATAACAGACAAAAGTATGATTAACTGTATGATACATTTTAATATAGATACCATAACTGTAATCTTATCTTAAAACTCTGCATTAACAAAAGGTCTGACATATTCAATGATGTAAATTGCATTATAATAATCATGGCGTAAAAGAGTTTCTTTTTAAGAAACAAATGCAAAAAGTCAACACAGTTCAAGGTCAAATGACTTAATTTTGTTAACTTTCATAATGCATGACTTAGTGAAATTGACAAATGTAGAAATTGCTTATTTGGTTTTTGTATTAGAATCAAAGGCATCATGTATCGCGTTATGTTTGTGAACCAATTTATTGTCCATCAAAATTGTTATCGTGATAGGCCTAGTTACAGGTTCATTCCAACCAAGCAGAGCCACACCGGACTCCACCCATTTCCTCAAGACTTTCTTCTTACATGAGAATTGGAGGGGGTCTGGTGTGCCCCTGCTTGGTTGAAATGAAAGCCATCAGTCAGACTTTTGGACTGCAGTGTGTGTACAGGTGTAGATACGAGTATTTTGAAATACTTACAATCCCTTCTGTTCCACGAGATGGCTCACAGATACTTTAACAAGCAGTTTTTCGTGACGTGATGGAAAGACTGCCTGATGATTCGAACTCCAAGAGGAGATTTGGGGCTTTTTCCTTCAACAGTTTTCTCAAACTATCATTGCCTGGCTGTGGTTCATTCTGCAAAAAACAATGAAATCCATGAATACAGGTGAATGCTGAAACATTTGAAAATCATGAAAAATGTAATTATGTGAAACTAATACATAAAAAGAAGGCAAAACATTTTTTTCTTCTTTTTTAAAGTCAGATGGAGGAGAATCGACAATGGAAAATGGACAAGGAGATCTCGAAAAAGGAATTTACCTTTGCAACATAATTACAGAAAGATATCAGGACCAAGTCCAGAGTCAGGACAAAGACTGCATTTGTGGTTTTTACAAGCAAAATAATGCAAGTTAGAATAAAGGCATAAATAATTGGCACTAGTCACTTTACCATAAGTCCATAATATATATTACTTCACATTTTAAGTTGTGAAAAGAATGTACTTTGACACACTATTAAAATTACTCAGGATTCATCATTCACTACAATATAATGTAAAACATGTAAACAAATGACATACCTCTGACAGTCCAACTGTAGATGAAGCAATGGCTCCAATTGAAGTTGAACCCGAGGGCTGGTTCTTAGGAAGGAAAAACAGTAAACAGATAAAAGTTGAGGTTACAATAAGAAATAAAAAATATTACCAATAGTTGAACATTACAAACCTGATATTCCGAAGTGTATGATTTAAATGAAATTCTGTATTTGTCAAGGTTCTGGACAAGTACATTGACATCCGCATCAGTAAATTCCTTAAAATCTTCACTGTATATTTGAACAGAATGAAAGTCGGCTTTGTCTGTTAAAAAGCTTGTGCTTTTATCAATCAGTTCTTTAATTGTGTTGAGATGGTAAACTCTTTTGGCAATCTCTTTGTCATCCAGCACAATAGTCACAAGAGATCTGGGATTCTCCTCCATCTGACAGGGAAAAAAAGAACAAAATAAAAAATATATGTATATATTCTTACCTGTCAAACTGCACACACTACCAAATTAAGCATCTTTAAACAAATGCTAAATTATAATGTATGTATTATTGCTATTTAAATTACAGATCATGAAATTCATAAACACGGGTTATCTAAAATATTTTAAAATTTACAAGACTAGTGGAAAATGTAAGCAATAATCAACTACGCGAGCAAGAATTAATTACCATAAGTATATCTTGTATGCAATAAAACGGCTCAGTTTACTCGTGCTTCCGCAGCAGCCCTCAAACTCAACGCTAGCCTCCTGCTTCCATGACAGGGTGAACACCGCACTCACCTCAAATATCACATATAAAGCCAGCATTGGCCATTTCACATTTACGGTCCTCTTATGAGCATTTCTAAACTGTGTGCCCGCACCATGAATCTATTGGATGCTTTGGGTTAGCACTACCACATCCGAGTGGCTAACCTGGAAAAACAGAGCTACGAAAGCGGGGGTCAACTTCGCGCAATTATTGATAAATGATCTGTCAGATCAGTTATCCCCACATATCTTGATCGATTACATCGTTAAGTGTTAACCACAGCTACTCACTTCGTCTGGTTAGGGTTAACTAACAAGTTAGACGAGAGCGATGTCAAGGCTAGCGTGGCTAGTAGCCCAATGAGCGCCAGATAGCCGACGTGTTGCGCCACTTTAATGCCAGTTTCAGCCCACAAGGAACAAAGAATAGTCACGCTGGCATCTTGTATGATCCATTTAAACAAGCCCACCAATTAATATCAAATATAGTAACGTTACGTTTAGCACAGACCGTTAACAAGCTCGCTCCTTAGCCACAATAGAAAGCTAACATAAAAACGAACAAGTGACTCCCACAAACCTCTTTTATCGTGTTAATCACTGCACGGCTCATATAGCAAAGCAGACAACACTGTAATGAGAATTAATACTTATTTATATTATAATAGTTACCTTATTTTGTTGACGCGGGCAGCCTCGCTCCGGTCCGGTTTTCAAAAGACAAATGAGTGTAAATGGAGGCGGACTTTGCCGCTGCTCTGAACCTGAGGCTGTTAGGTCAACACAGTGATGTGTAGCTCTTGTGACGGTTATGATTCGCATTTTTTACACAATTTTCAAATATTTTAACACAACATGTGTTAAAACAGTAGTAACACATAACATGTGTTAATAATTAACACATCATTTCTTAGAGTGCAGCTGCTCCCGGGGCCAGAGCGGAGGATGTAACGTAACGTTCGGTTTATCAAAACATATCACAATATTTAACGTATAACACTAGTGAATTTCACCTCGATTTTTTCAGACATTAAAGACAAGATGTTATATAATAATTGTTTAATGAAAAAACAATTTTGCCACAAGCAACCAAAATTGCCTCAGACAAGAATCGAACCTGTGTTCTCCAGGTCCCAGTCTTTAATGCTAACCACTCGGCCAACATAGCATCTCTGGGCTAGACAGGTTTGCACGCAGTATGATACCTGAGCGTCTAAGTTGCTGGCAGAGCTAAAGCGGACTTAGCCTGCCACCTTATGGCGATAAGATGTACTATTTTTCACGCAGCTGCGTGATTCCCGAGAAGCGTGAATGAAGACGACAAAACGGAATGGGACCTACTGTACAAGGATGGATATGTTTTACACATTTACATAATAAAACAATCAACATGATCAAGAAAAACAGCTTTCATTTGTCACTGTTTATATGTTCTGCAGTCCTGGGTCTACAGCCTCAGTCCTGGATCTAAGGCCTCAGTCCTGGATCTACAGCCTCAGTCCTGGATCTACAGCCTCAGTCCTGAGTCTGAAGTTTCAGTCCTGGGTCTAGAGCCTCAGTCCTGGGTCTACAGCCTCAGTCCTGGATTTAAAGTCTCAGTCCTGGATCTACAGCCTCAGTCCTGGGTCTACAGCCTCAGTCCTTGGTCTAAAGTCTCAGTCCTGGATCTTCAGAGCAGACTGTGGACAGTTCCTTCAGAGCAGACTGTGGACAGTTCCTTCAGAGCAGACTGTGGACAGTTCCTTCAGAGCAGGCTGTGGACAGTTCCTTCAGAGCAGACTGTGGACAATTCCTTCAGAGCAGACTGTGGACAGTTCCTTCAGAGCAGACTGTGGACAGTTCCTTCAGAGCAGACTGTGGACAGTTCCTTCAGAGCAGACTGTGGACAGTTCCTTCAGAGCAGACTGTGGACAGTTCCTTCAGAGCAGGCTGTGGACAGTTCCTTCAGAGCTGCGTTCTGGGCTGAAGATCTGAGACCTAAAGAGGAAGACGTGTGATACGGCGGGTAACTGAACCTTTGAACGTCTTCGTGGCAGAAACCTAATCAGGTCACATCAGCCTCAGAGACTCTCTGTCTGCTGCTAAAACCTGAAGTCTACCCAGTCCTGTCTTCTTCTGAGTCCTCAACAGTCTCCTGAGTCACTGCTGTGCTCCTCTATCAGGTTTGGGATCGTCCACAAAGCATCATGACACCTGAAAACAGCCTCATAACTAATTCATTCCAACACCACAACCGTTTTGGACTGTTCAGCTCAAACCTTATAAATCCTAGTTACTGGGACCTTCTCAAACAGATTCAGCCTCTCTAGCGACTGGGTTTACATGAGTTCAGGACAAAATGTTTGGCATTCATGAACTCATCATCAGCTGATTCTTAATTCATCATGATTTCATGATGATTGTGTCCCCTCTACTAAAGTGAAGCAATGATTTATGGATTGTTCCTTCAATAGGGATTTTTGTATGGAAAAACAATTTATTTTCCAAACGTACACGTACAGCTTAACCAAATAAGACCTCCAGTGCTGGACCTGAATAATCCACTGCAAATTCCATCAAACTTACCATAATCACTTAGAACTACACAAAATATTTGAACTGTCTCATTTTAAGCCTTATTTAAGGCAAGGCAAGGCAAGTTTATTTATATAGCACAATTCATACACAAGGCAATTCAAAGTGCTGAACAATACAAGAAAGCATTAATGTCATAAATAATCACAGAACATTAAAAAGAAAGATAAAAATATAAAATCCCTCAGTTGTATGCACAGCTAAACAGAACTGTCTTTAACCTGGTTTTAAACATTGTCGTTGAGGAGGCCTGTCTCACATCTTCAGGAAGACTGTTCGAGATTTTAGCAGCATGAATCTGAAAAGCAGCCTCCCCATGTTTAGTTCTGACTCTGGGCACTAACAGGAGTCCAGTCCCTGTGCTCCTCAGAGTCCGGGCTGGTTCATATGGGACTAACATGTCACTAATATATTTTGGTGCGAGGCCATGGAGAGACTTGTACACAAGCAGAGCTGTTTTAAAGTCTATTCTCTGAGCCACAGGAAGCCAGTGCAGAGACCTGAGAACTGGACTAATGTGGTCGTACTTCCTGGTTCTAGTCAGGACTAATGCGGTCGTACTTCCTGGTTCTAGTCAGGACTCGAGCTGCTGCATTTTGAATGTACTGCAGCTGTTTTACAGCCTGTTTGGACAGACCTGTGAGCAGGCCATTGCAGTAGTCTAACCTACTGGAGACAAATGCATGGATAAGAATCTCCAGGTCTGCTTTAGACACTATGTTTTTGATCCTGGAAATGTTTTTTAGATGGTAAAAAGCTGCTGATGTTACTAATTTGATGTGGCTATTAAAATTTAAGTCTGAGTCCAGTATTACCCCTAGATTTCTGACCTTGTTTGAAGGTTTTAGGGAGAGAGACTGGAGGTGACAGATGACGCTCTCTCTTTGTTTCTGGGGACCAAAGACAATCATTTCAGTTTTGTCTGCGTTTAGCTGAAGGAAGTTGTTTTGCATCCACTCACTGATCTGTTGGATACAGTGAAGGAGTGAGTCCACTGGTCCATGTTCTCCTGCAGTCAGTGAGACATAGATCTGAGTGTCGTCTGCATAGTTGTGATAGGACACTTTGTTTCTGCGTATTAACTGACCTAACGGCAGCATGTAGAGATTGAACAGAAGAGGTCCCAGGATCGACCCCTGTCTGTTTAAACCGCAGAGAGAACCATGAAGACAAAGGAACACACCAGGCAGGTCCGAGATACTGTTGTGGAGAAGTTTAAAGCCGGATTTTGATACAAAAAGATTTCCCAAGCTTTAAACATCTCAAGGAGCACTGTGCAAGCAATTATATTGAAATGGAAGGAGTATCAGACCACTGCAAATCTACCAAGACCCGGCCGTCCCTCCAAACTTTCATCTCAAACAAGGAGAAGACTGATCAGAGATGCAGCCAAGAGGCCCATGATCGCTCTGGATGAACTGCAGATAACTAAGCTGAGGTGGGGATGGTGTGTTCAGGGTGATGAGCTGTGTTGCTTTAACGGCAAACATATTGTTTTGCATTGTGGCCAAAAAGTTTGATTTTGGTTTCATCTGACCAGAGCACCTTCTTCCAAACTTTAAACGAGACTTTTTATGGATATCTTTGAGAAATGGCTTTCTTCTTGCCACTCTTCCATAAAGGCCAGATTTGTGCAGTGCACGACTGATTGTTGTCCTATGGACAGACTCTCCCACCTCAGCTGTAGTTATCTGCAGCCCGGCGTCACTTGGCACGCGTCAAAAGCCTCAAAAGTCGCAAGTAATACACGCTCACTTGAAGTTTTTGATGCGCGTAACGCTCGCTTCTCAAAACAATCCCTTGACGCCAAAGTTGAGCAAAGCTGAGCTTTTGAAGCTTTGACGCGGGCTTCAACCAATCAGGAGATGAGGAGCAGCTGCTGCTGTTTTATTGTCATTAGTAATATTATTTGTATGAGTAGTAACGTTCTTAATAAGTGAGTAACAACAATCATTGTACACATGCTGTGAAGTAAACGTAATTGATTAAATATAAGAACAAGCTGACGATGAGTCTGGCTCAGAGCGAGAGCGAGGCAGCTCCAGGCAAGAAGAGGCCAGCTCAGGCGGGAAGAGGCTAGCTCCAGGCGAGAAGAGGGGAGAGAGAGGCGGGCAGAGGCTAGCTCCAGGTGGGAAGAGGCTAGCTCCAGGTGGGAAGAGGCTAGCTCCAGGCGGGAAGAGGCGAGTGAGAGCCGGAGAGAGGCGAGAGCGAGGCGGGGAGAGGCGAGCTCCGGGATTTGGGAACTCAGACTGGGCGAGTGACTTGGGGAAGTACCGCTGAAAGCGAAACTCCTTCGTACACAGCTCCTGGAGTAAATGACGGAACTCTGCAAACACTGCAGCCTTTCAAGTCTGTGGTGAACCCAGAACATGTTTTGTAGAAACCCTACGACAACGTTATTTGGCTTTATATAACAAATAAAGGCTCGCTGCTCTCTGGAAAATCCACGGCTGTCCAGACTACAGGCAACAGAGAAGCTCCTCCCACCGGCGTCAGGCGCGTCAAAATCTTCAAGCACCAAAATGACAAAAAATAACCTGGCGTCAGTTGAAGCGCGTCAAAAGCTTTTTGAAGCTTTTGGTCTGAACGCGCCTTAAGATTTTCATGTAAATTCATTACAGTAGTTCAACCATTAATTCATGGATGAATTCATCCATGAAACTACATGTAATCATGTTAGTTCATGAGAATTCATGATCTAGTAATGCAGGAATGTATCATGAACTAATGCATTAATTCTTGCATTAGTTCATGAGAATCATGTATCATTTATATAAAGTGTCACCTCCAAATGCTATCTGCTTTTCCAATTTCTAATTATGATTTCCTCCCCCCTGGACTGCCACTTTAATGTAGTACTCGGGTGATCCTGGGAGTGTGTTGTTTGGGGCTTTAAGGGCCTTCCATGTCTCGAAAACAGTTTTGCCAACATGTCACATAAAGTCATCGGCCACTTTATCAGGTACACCTTTCCAACACCACTTTGTGGTCAAGATGATCTGCTGCATCAGCATATATATATATATATATTTGTGAATATATTTCAATAAAAAGAAATCAAACAAATGACAAATTATTTCTATGCATATACTTTATTCAATAATATCAGCCTAGAATTTAGGAGCTATGTCCCAAAACTAGTAGAGGACCGACACTGAAAACACATCTTCAAGAAAGCCACAAGTACCTCCTCAAAAATGGTTCAAAGTGTTGTTAAAGGACTTGGAACATCTTCAAGAAAGCAACGTATGTCTCCTCAAAAATAATTCAAAGTTCTGTAAAAACACTGGGAACACATCTTCAAGAAAGCAACGTGTGTCTCCTCAAAAATGGTCAAAGTGCTGGGCTTCTGGGGTGGGCCTCTGGGTTGGGCCTCTGGGCTGGGCCTCTGGGGTGGGCCTCCTTAGAAGGTGAAGGCTCTCCTCATCCTGGAGAAGAGCCGTGACAGCGCAGACTTGGGACGCTTCTGGAAGGATCTCAGTTCAGCGTTTATATGTTTCGCTGCAGCCGCTTCAAATGCAGCTGTGTCGTCCTCCACAGCCGCCCTCAGGACTGCGGCTGCCGATCCATAATCCGCCATGAGACGTTTGGCGGCTGTTTTACCGATTTTCTCTGAGTTCTTCATCTTCATCTGAGAGTTTTCTTCTAACTCCAGCTGCTGCTTGATTCTGTGATGCAGACGGACTCCCATCAGACTGGCTTTACGGTGGTCTTTGGATCCAGCCAGTTTGAACAGTTTTTCGGTGAGTGCGTTGGTGATGAAGTAGGACTCTCTTATGAAAGTTGGAGAAATCCTACATGGTTCAGTAGACGTGTCCGATGACTCAACGACATCCTCGGTGATAATATCAGGTTGTGACATAGCCCGAACCGTGTCCTTGACCACTGTCTCTTGAGCCCTCAGAGTCAAGTCTTCTAAAGGACTTGTCGGACCATTTTCATCTGTGGTTCCAACAGTTTCTTCAAAGTCTGTGGTGTGGTCATCTTCAGACTGATCAAGGAACTTGTGAACTGTTACCTCTTTGTTTTCAGTCAGTGCGACTTCTGGTGACTGTTCCTGGTCACTCAGAAGTGCAACACCATCAGTGGAAGTGTCTTTGGAGGTTTCAAGATATACAAATTCCTCGGGAGGTGTGTGAACCTCCTCCTCAATGTTATCTAAGAAAATCTCCGCTGCTTCGTCTTGAGTTGAAGCAGCAGAAGACAAAACAGATGTGTCGTTTGTCGGGGACTTGATCTCCTCCGTTTGAAAGAAATCGCCTTCAGCAACAGAACATCCCTGGTCCTGTTGTGAGTCTTCAACGTCCTCATGAACATCAGTCCCAGTCTCTTGAGTTGTGCTGGCGTCGTGGGGAACATCACTAATCGTTACCTCCTCACTTACAGTCTTAGTGAGTACTGGTGACTGTTCCTGGTCCCTCAGAAGTTCTGCCTGATCAACATAATCAGTAGCAGTGTCTTCAGGGGACTCCACAAACACAATCTCCTCAGGAGGTGTCTGAACCTCCTCCTCAATGACGTCCAGAAGTGCTGCTTGTTCAACACCATCATTGGAAGTATCTTCGCAGGTTTCTAGATACACAAACTCTTCGGGAGGTGTCTGAACCTCCTCCTCTAGGTTATCTAAGAAAACCTCTGCTGCTTCGTCTTGAGCAGCAGCAGCAGAAGACAAAACAGATGTGTTGTCTATTTGGGACTGGATCGCCTCGGTCTGGATGGAGTCTTCAGCAACAGCACATTCCTGGTCCTGTTGTGACTCCTCAACCTCCTCTGTCTCAGTCTCTTCAGTTGTGCTGGCGTCGTGGGGAACATCACTAACCGTTACCTCCTCACTTACAGTCTGTGTGAGTACTGGTGACTGTTCCTGGTCCCTCAGAAGTTCTGTCTGATCAAGACCATCAGTATCAGTGTCTTCAAGGGACTCCACAAACACAAACTCCTCTGGAGGTGTCTGAACCTCCTCCTCAGTGCCATCCAGGAAAACCTCTGCTGCTTCGTCTTGGTAAGCAGCAGATGTGTCCACAGATGTCTCCTCTGTTGGGGACTGGGTCTCCTCTGTCTGGATTGAGTTGTCTTGAGCTACAGAACATTCCTGGTCCTGTTGTGTCTCATCAACCTCGGGGACCTCCTCAAGAACATCAGTCTCTATCTGCTGAGATGTGATGTCTTCTTTGGGTCTTGGCTCTGGCTCCTTGACTACAAAGTTGTACCCAAACGAGTTGAGAACTTTTGAGGCCGCATTCCTTTTAGCGTCCTTCTTGTCCAAGCCGAGTCCCACCGCAGTCACGTCCGCCACCGTGACCTGGACGTAGAAGATCCAAGGATTCGACTGTTTGTCCACGTCCACAATCGTGTACTTTGGAGGAATCCCTTTCATGTTCACCACGATTATATCAAGACAAGATATGGGGTTATCATCGTCTTTGAAAGTGGGAAGTTCTCTCCAGCAGACGCCAGTGCGTTTCTTCTTCTTCTTCTCGTCAGACGGAAGATGAAGACGTCGCAGCTCTGGGAGAACTTGTTGAGCACAAAGGTGTTTAGCTTCTGAAGCGGTGGGTCCTTTAGCGTCTGCACTAAAGTCACCGACCGTCAGACGATATGTGAAAATGGCGTTATGGATTGGTCCATCTTTCTGCACCATCCACAGCCTGATTTCCATACCATGCTTCTTAGCTAGCTCAAAGACCTCGCAGACCTCATCTTTGTAGCTGATGTCGATCTTTTGAGGCAAAAACATGGTGGATGCGTAATTACTTTCCATCTCTATAGAACAGCCATTCCCAAACTCAGTAACACCGAGGCCCCCTTAAAAATCTGACGGGTCTGCGTGGCCCCCCAAAATAATAACCAAGAAGACAACATTAAGAATAGGCTCTTCTGGTTATTTTATTTTGGGGAAATAGCCTCTGCTACAAACATTGTAATACAAAAATGATTACAGTGGCTTATTCAAGTCAAATAATGAACACAAATATTTTAATATTACAAACAAAACATTATAAATGTAACATTAAATAATTATATATTTTTTTTATTTTTTTTTATGACCTCCCGCGGCCCCCCTGCAGTACCCACGCGGCCCACCAGGGGGCCGCGGACCCCACTTTGGGAGACACTGCTATAGAATATAGCGAACTCGAAAGGCTTATTGTGAGTAGTTTTGTATCAAACTGTATCTCGACCGTAAACCCGTCTCGAATCGGAGTAAATGGACTCTCTTCTGGGTTCATCTCCTGAACATCTTGGTCTGTGGTGTTATCAGGCAATGACATCACTATAGAATGTCATGATAGAAGACAGTTACCATGGTAATTATGTTGCCATCGAGACGATGGAACTCATTCAGAATTCCAGAATCCCTGTGTGTTCTAAATGTTCAGTGAACCAAATTTACACCATTACTATAGTACTTTAACAAATATTAGTTTTAATTCTATAATTCAATATTGGAACGTTAAAGAGAATCAGGAAAATTACACACTTTTTTCCCGTACGTGTGTAAATATATTGATATTCTACTAAATATACTGAATTTTTTCAATTTACTTTCATCTTGATCAGTGATTTTGTTCAACAATCCCAAGACACAAATACTGTCAGTTCATGCTCACTATAGTATTACTGCTTTGGATTGAACGTACTACAACTGACACATATGGTCACATTCTGCACATAGTATTTACTAGGGGTGCAAAGTTTAGAAAAATTCACGGTTCGGATCGTACCTCGGTTCAGAGGCCACGGTTCAGTTCATTTTTCGGTTCATTTTTCAACAAAAAAAGTTTTGTCTTTTTAATAAACACCGCTCATGTGGACTCGGCACCTGCTCTGACTGCCCCCCCCCCCCCTGACCTAGAAATGAATTAAGGGGAAGGAAATGGATGGATGGATGGAAGGCATATTCCATCCATCTAATTATGTCTTTTTAACATAATTAATGAAAAACAACACAAAGTGCAACATAAGAAGGCACTTTATGAGGGTATTTACCATCACACATTAAACCACCTGATTCTCCCGAGGAGGCGCTCCATTCTGGGCCCAGCCTCATTCACTGCATTTATTTAATTTTTGGCATTATCAGTTGTGACCGGAATATTAGTACTGGACCTTTGTCTTCCATTCCTCCACTGCTGTGTCAGTACCTGTGCTCTGTGTCAGTACCTGTGCTCTGTGTCAGTACCTGTGCTGTGTGTCAGTACCTGTGCTGTGTGTCAGTACCTGTGCTGTGTGTCAGTACCTGTGTTGTGTGTCAGTACCTGTGCTGTGTGTCAGTACCTGTGCTGTGATGAAGTGAGCAGTTATCGTAACATAGGTTCCGTGGGACGTCCAAGTGTCAGTCGTGAGCGCAGCTGTGATGCGTGGGAGAGTTGACTTTAGCCCGGTCTGACTGTGCGTAAAGGACCTGCTTAAATGCCGCGGCAATAAGCGGTTGTTGAGAAGCTTTTTTTTCACTCATGTCTTTCTTGTGCCACAGTGTTTACACCGTGACAGTTTTGTCGACTATTTAATCATCAGTAAAGTTACAGTGAAGCCAAATGATCCCATACAGGGGATTTAAATGACGCGTGGCTTTCAAGCTCCTCCGCTCGCCGTGACCACGCTGTGTGTGGACTGAAAAACATGCGCACAACTTTTTTTTCATAAATAAAAACCGCGGATCACGTCTGTACCGAACCGAAGACGTTGATCCGAACAGATCACGGATCAGTGATGAACCGTTGCACCTCTAGTGTTTGCCATTCTGTTCCATTTTCTTCCGCTTTATCCATATCCGGGTTAGCAGTCTAAGCAGAGACGCCCAGACTGTCCGATCCACATTAACAAATAGTCTATATTGTTTCTACTAAATTACAGAGGGAGTTAGCCCACCGAGCCCACTGATTCCAACCATCCCTGTACAGACAAGACAGTATAACATTAAATCTGTGACACTGTATGGACTTGCAGTGGTCACACAGAGCTGTAGTTGGAGCAGGGGCAGAGGCGGTGTTGGTTTGGGCCGCAGCAGATCACAGTTGAGTTCTGAGTATTGTTGCTGACCATGTCCATCCCTTTATGACCACACTGTACCATCTTCTGATACTCCTTCCAGCAGATTAAACACCTCGTCATAAAGCTCAAATCATCACAGACCGGGTTCTTGAACATGACAATAAGTTCACTGTTCTCTAATGGCCTCCACAGTCACAGATCTTAGGCCCTGTCCACACAAAGTCAAGCTCAGGCCTAAACGCAAAAATACTTTATCAATCCAGTGTATCGTCCATACGAGGCCGCCGTTTTGGGGGGGTGTAAACGAACATTTTTGAAAGTAGGTCCCAGAGTGGAAAGATTTCAAAACTCCGTATATGCCGCTCCGTGGTTACTGCCTCTCCGCAATGTATCTGAGACGCTTGCGTCATCGCCCCGCCTCTTGTTAAAGCACGCATGCGCCGCACACAGAAAATAATGACAACAACAATGGCTTGTTGGTTTTGTAATCCAGTGTGACCCGAAGCAACAGTTCAACCTCATCGTCCGTCCATACTAATGTAGTACCAGCTCGCCCACTCGCCCATGTTGTCTGTTTACAAAATTCTGCGCATGCCCAGTTCCCGTCACGGAAGTTTGGGCTTGATCCCGTCATTGCGTCACAGCGCCACCAACAGGTCTGGCATAGTTTCACAGCGTTTTCAGGCGTATTGACTACATTCATATGGACGCACACATTTACTGAGCTAACTCCGTGTTTACAGAAAAAGTTTCTGAAATTATAAGCGTTTTGTCTTCGTGTGGATATAGTCTCAATCCAATAGAGACACTTTGGGAACAGGAGCATCAAGGATGTGCAGCCGACAAATCTGCAGAAAACTGCATCAAATATGAACCAAACTCTCTGAGGAATGAGTCCAGTTGTTGAATCTATGCCACGAAGGATTAAGACAGTTTTGAAGGAAAAAGGGGGTCCAACCTAATAAAGTGGCCGGTGAGTGTATGTGTCCCTGGAGAGAGACCAGAGGGAGACCAGGGAGTCTCCAGCCTCAGTCCTGGGTCTACAGCCTCAGTCCTGGGTCTAAAGCCTCAGTCCTTGGTCTAATGCCTCAGTCCTGGGTCCACAGCCTCAGTCCTGGATCCAGGACTGAGACTGTAGACCCAGGACTCAGGCTGAGAGAGACAATAGAGGTTTTGTACATTTTCAGAGACGTTGATGGTAACGCCAAGAAAGTAGAAACTTACACTCATTTCAAAGACATAAAACTTGTAAAATCTGGGTTTTTCAGACCTCCCCAGGTCCTCAGACCGTCCTAAACCAGGTCTGGACTCTGGTTTTAACACGGCTGAACTCTGCGTGTGATTTTAACCTCGGAGTCGACCCCAGTGACCCTCTCCTTCTCACCGAGCGGCTGTCCACTGCTCTCTTTGATTCACTGCTTAATAATGGATTGTGTTCGGTCGAGTCTGGTCCAAGTCGGAGCCGGGCGCCGGGATTCTAGTTAAAATTCAGCAGCAGGAAGAGAAAATGTCTATTTTCTGCCAAGAGCTCTTCAGCCGTCAGTTTTGTCCTGTTTTTTATTCTTCAAATCAAAAGTCAAATCCAGAGAAAGCTCCGTGTTCCCGGTGATGGTTGGGTATATCTTTGAAACTTTACAATAAAATATGTTCTGGTGGGCACAAAGTTTGACAGACTGACCTAAATAAATACAGAAAGTATTTATAAATGTTGTAGCAGCCGCACACACATCACAACACGTTAATTAACCAGTTACTGTACCTGTTATTATTATTACTGCATCATTGCATGGGCAGCAGTAGCTCAGTTGGTAGAGCACTGGTCTTTGATCTTTGTCAAAGCTGCTCCCACTGATGTCTGCTGTCGTTGTGTCCTTGGGCAAGACACTTAACCCCACACTGCCTGAAAGCCCCCGCTAACAGACCAAGGCCGTCCCGGTGTGGATTTAGTGTTATTTTGTACCTTACTTTTCTTTTGATATCAGTTCTCAGTGGATTTGGTTTTAGTTTGACTGCCTGTCTGGTCGATGTCTGTCCTGTCTTGTCTTCGTTCCTGGTTCCGTTTTTGGATTTTGAGTGTTGTTTTTCCTCTGGACTTTTGTTTTATTCAACCATTATTTTGGCATTCCTGCATTTTGAGTCCTCCTCCTTCTCACCAGGACAAAGGCCATCTAGTCCATGACGGAGAAGCCATCATCCTGTGGACCCACCACCTGCAGGAGGATCAGAGGGACTGGTGCATTGAGGCTTGGGTGCAGCTCTGATTACCACCCCCCCCCGACCCAGAAATGGAATAATAAAGGGGCAGATAATGACATGCCATGACTTTATTACATATCCATCCATCAAAAAGTCATTTACTAGTCACTTTACCTGCTCATATTG